GTAATTTTTGAGGCAACTAGAATATTTCTGTAACTTCACCCTTTTCTTGCAGAGTATATACATGATGCCTAGTAATTCTACCATTAAATTCCTCAACTATTTTTCTGGCTTGATGACTTGCAAATCTAAACTAAAACTTATTCTATCCTAAATTGAGAAAGATTAAAGAAAAAAAATTAACTTAATGCCCTTTGGTTAGAAAATAAAAATAGAAGCAATTTTTTTCATTTATATTTAGATTGCTAATTTCATCCCCCTCTTAGTGATTTAGGAAATGAAGATGTTTTTAAGCAAATAGGGTTTGTAATGAGAACACAAGTTTTAAATTCTGATGTTCTTTTTCTCTGTGTTGTTAGATAAAAATTGTTTAATTTATTTAGGACTTAGTTTTCTCATCTACAAGCCTTAAAAAATTATTTCTGGGAACTCCCTGCTAGCAGCACAGGGGTTGAAGTCTCAGAAATACACTGCTGAGGTTGATATTGCTGAGACTGCAATGCACCAGCCAGTGCACCATGAGTTTAATCCCCAGCCAGAGATCTAACCCACAGTGGCACAGCAGACATCTGTTGCCCTCTGCTCCCCTCAACAATGTATTTCAATAGATAGGCCTGTTCTGCTCTTCACTCTCTCTAGTGAATCCTCTCAACCCCCTGCATCTCTGGCCTACACCTTAGTTCTTGTATTCATAAATAAATAAAAATAAATCTTAAAAAAAAATTTCCACTGAATTGTAGGAATAATAAAAGTATAAAAGACCTTTGTTATTGAGGGCTACAGTTACCAGAATGTTGACAGTGGTACAACCCTAGGGTAGTGACTGCAGTAGGTGAAGTAAGTGAATGAATGGCCACTGAATCCTCTGCCCGCAGAGTGGACAGAAAATAACCAAACCCTGAATAATAATTCCCAAATATGTTAGCTACATTAGCCCTAAAAAATTGCTGTCTTGTTTCTTCACTTTGCTGCAAATTCTGAAAGTTACACTAATTTATAACTGTTCTAAAATGAAAGATTAGCATACAAAGAAGGTGTTTTGCTAAGAAATGTATAGGGAATGGATGTTCTTTCAGCATGCTAAGAGCCCCCTCAACAAAATTTCATTAAAAAATTGGTTTTATTTGTTCTGCTTAGGTTTTGAGGAAAAGGAAACACATGAACTTGGAAAGGCTGCAGAAGGATACTATTTTATAACAACAAAAGCCTAAGAAAAGGAAAAACGATTTCAGGCCAGCGAGTCTACAGGTTTATTTATGTTCCATGATTTATTTTTTTCCCCAGTGGTAGCATTTCTTGCGAAATATACATATCTGTGATTATAACTACCTATTAATTTACATTTTAACCATTCCTAGATTTTTTTCCAACAAAATTACTTTGTCACGACAATTTTTATAACTTATCTCATATAACTGGTACCTTTTGGAGATGGAAGGGAACCTTAGAGATGCTGGATCCAAACTATTATGGAGCAACTACCAGTGAAGAACAGTAAGTATTGTCCCTAAGATCATATATCAATATAGATATAATATGGAGTCAAGCCAAGAACTTCCAGCCAACCTTTCAGGATAGGTTGTTTCAGGCAAATAAATTACAGGAGATTACTTTAGAAATAGAATTTTAAAATCAAAGATGTGGATGATTTTTTATTAAAAGTCCAAGTTTACCAAGCATAATCTGCTACCAGTACCAATTTACTTTACCTTTATAACCTTCTGCTTCTAAGTTATTTTTAAAATATTATTAGAGAAATAATGCATGAAGACAATTTCAAAAGTTTAATAAGAGGAAAATAAGGGGCCTCCCTGTTGGTACAAGTGGTTAATTCTCAGCATTATGTTTCTTTATTCTTTTGCACCTCACGTCTATAGAACCTTCCTTAGACCAACATTACCACCAAGCACATTAAATCAAAAACAGCAGAGATTTTACTACCTGGCCCCAGTCCACTACTTCCTATAGGGGCCAGGTATATTTGTCAAATAAATGAGGTATTGAGTGCAAACGATGAGGATGTATAGGTTTACTTCAAATTAGTCTTTTTTTTTTTTTTTTATTCCCCAAACACTCATCTACTGAAGAGGCACTGAAAATTATCATGGTTTCTTGTTCCTTTTTCTTTTCTCTCTTCAGCCTCGAGGAAGCTCCACTGCAATGGGAGGTAGGAGAAGTAAGCGCTGTTTCCATCATTTACGAACTAGAGGGTAAGGAGAAGCTGGCCCTCAGCAGGCTTATGTAAAACTGAACTTAAGACTTCTGACCAAGATGAAAGGATGGGTTTGTTGGTGTGGCCAGTTTGTTGTTTGCTTTGTCATCAGTTCTAAGACCTATGAATTTTTT